AGTCGACTGCGGAAAGTACGCCGTCAACGCATCATCCATCACCCTTCCGCCCTGCGCCGCTGACGCCCCTTCAGCCGGGATGCCCCCTGCGGCAATGCCAGCAGCAACACCCCCCGCGGAAGCTCCCGCGTGCGCCCCGGCAAAGACGACGGTCTCCCCATTCACGTCAACAAGTCCAGGGACACGGAACGAACCCGTTGCGCCCTCGGAGTCCGCTCTGGCGCCCAGGCCAATGTTGACCTTCGCAAACGATTGAGGTTTGGGCACCCAATGACGCACTTCCTCCTGCGCCTCCTCAGCGCTGGCACTTTCACAGCTGCCGCTGCGTATCAACAGCACGCAGAGGAGGAGCAGCACCGCAGCAGAAAACAGGTGCCGGGACATGTTGAGCCTCTGCCTCTCACTCTCCTTGCGGTGGATCCGCTCAGGCCGCAACTATTGTCCCTGTGTGTGCGTGTGCGTTGCTGGTGGTGGTGGCTGCAGAGCCTTCAAAGCGCACAGCGGCTGCAAGCAGCGTTTGCTCTCTTTTCCTTCGGCGTGTGCGTGGGAGGAGGAGTAAGAGGAAAAAAGAGGCAAAACAGAGACGTGTCGACACACCGACAGAAGGGGGATTTAAGAGCGGCGCGACCCCACACGGTGGCGGCTGTGGCGCAGGGGCCCACGGCAGCGGTGGGCGTTGCCCAGGCCGCAAAAGAAACGAAAAGAACTGTGAAGAGAAGTGAATAATCCCCACAGAACCGCAAAAGTTAAGTAAAAAAAAGGAATCACCTCAGCAGGTGGTGTTTTCTTTACTTTCACGCGTCCAGCAGCACAAGAGGACTGGGAGAGAGAGTGTGTATATTTTATTGCCGGCACGAGTAAAAGGAAAAAGAGGCAGCATAAGCCCACGCACACATCAAGCTTGCACCTCACGGTAGCCGCGGCCTCGTGTCCATTGGGGCACTCCGTGCGGCGCACAGCAATGCGGCCAGCGCCGCGTGCGTGTGTGTGTGGCAGCAGCGGCAAGCAGGAGGGGAAAAGGGTGCGCCGCCCACAGGAACGTGCATGGAGTGGCGAAGCAATATAAAAAAAACAAAATAACAAGTCCCTCAGAGCACAGACGAGAGAGAGAAGCACTGCCCCGCAGAGAGGACAAGCAAACTGAGCGCACAAAGAATACGCCTCGTCCCTGCCAGGGTGTATGCGAGTGCGGTTGCCCCGCACCGCTTACCCAGCAGCAGAGGCAAAAGCAGCCGTGAGCAGCAGCAACAGCAGCAGTGGGGCACGCGCCCACACAGTGGCGATGGTGCCACTGCTGTCCGCATTGCTTTTTCGCGTGTTCCCAGCACTCGGGCTGCTGGTGGTCGTTGTAGTGGTAGTGGTTCCATCATTGCCGCCGGCGGAAGGGGCCGAGTTGGGCGTGCCGGAAGGGCCTTGAGGGGTTGAGGGTGTTTGTGTACTTCCGGGTGCATCTGCTTCCCTGTTCTCTGCCGTCGTTGTTGGCGGAGCCGCAGGCGCCCCCGGTGCCCTTCCTGCTTGTGGACCAGTTGGCGGCTGCAACTGAGGTTGGCGCTCAGGTGCTCCCTCGCCTCCTCCTGCAGTGGGTGGTAGGAGCTCACACACGCCCGGCTCGCCAAGTGTATTCTTCTCCGGCGCATCGGAGGGGCCTGTTTCGCCCTTCGACCGCTTGTGCAGTACGCTGCCTTCAGCCGTCGCGCATTTCATGGCAAACGCAACCTTCTGAGTGTCCCCTGTTGAAGGTGTAGGGCAGCTCGTGCCCGCGCCGGTGGAGAGGTACCACGATCCGGCGTAGACGCAGAGGGCGTTGGTGAGGTGGTCGGTTCCACTGCTCCCCGCAACAACCTCCGGCGTGTTAGGGCACGGCGTCCAGTCAGAACCACTCTTGCCAGAAAAGCGCCAACTTAACTTCTTTGCACCGTTCGGGCACGACACCTCCACCGCCACACTCACCGAAGGCGTAGCAGGAGCCCCCGCCCCAACCCCCGTCGCCCCGCAACAGCCGCCGCAGAGCAGCGCGAGGAGCGCCAACGCGCACACCGCACGGCGCCGCACCGTCAGCGTCATCGCCATCCGTCGCAGTGGTGGTAGCGGCACAATCTACTTGGTGGTCTGCGGGGCGGCGGGAGGGAGAAACTAGAGAAAGCGGGAGCGGGAGCGGGAGTGCAGACGGAACGAAGAAAAAGGCGGCAGCAGGAGACCACAGCCACACACGCAGAGAAGCCACGCAGCAGCGGCAGACCTCCCAGCGGTGCGGCTCCCCTCAACCAGAGGCGGGGGCGGTGCAGGCGGGCAGCCTGCCTGTTTGCTTTTAGGTTCCCCAACAAAATAAATAAATAAAAAGGGAGGCCAGCCCGTGACGCAGGCGCCTTGTGGCACCCGACCCCCAATCGCACCTCTGAGGCCGTCCAAGCGCATTTGCACAGCTGCGCCCGGCGGCTGTGGTGTCCGGCTCTGCACTGAGACGCCTAAAAGACACTTACCCAAGACGGCGCCGGTGCCGTGGCACGTGTCCCCCACAGACTTGGCAGCTGCGAGGTGCATGGGCGGCAGCTGTGCGTGGCCAAACAGCCGGGGGGGCTCGCGAAGAGGAGGGGCCCAAGCCCACAGAGCGTTTGACGTCAGCCGGCCCTGCTGCCGCCGCGTCCGTCACGATGGACCCCCGAAGCAAAAACAAACCAAAAAGGCGTATAGGGCAGGTGGCCTCACAAAACGGTGCACATTACCCGCAGGGGCGGATGCATCTGAAACATCTCCCACTGGACGTCCGCAGGCACAAACATCGTTAACATTTCGTTGGGACCTGCAGCGCCCCGCTGCC